GGCCCCGGCACTATGTTGCAGGTCACCAGCAGCACGGCTCCGGCGTTGGCGCCGAAGGTGTTAGGACTGGAGGGTGGGAACGACCGCGGAGCTGAGCGCACGTGCTTCTTGAAACCCACCGCAATATTAGTAATAGCCTTCACCGCAAGGAAAGGATGCGAAACTTACCGACGACATCTTTAGGTGTTCAGAGCAGATGCAGAAGCTGGGATTGGAGTGTGCTTCCATAAAAGTCGTGCATTTTCTGTAACGTGGCAGGACCACAGAAAAGAGCACCGGCCTGGGCAGACGCAAGGAATTTGGTTGAGGGTGAGAAAAAGTATGCGGAGGGTGAGCCGTCAGGAACTCAAAGAAGTGAGGAGGGAGACGAAGATTGTGAGCGGCGCGCCCGAAAACCTTTTCTTAAACGGGCCAGACGGCCAGGCTGCGTACCCGCACGCATGAAAAACCATGGGCCCCAACAGATGGTACCTCCACCCAGAATTCTGCCAATCTCAGGGCCTCCATACTTTTAATTACACAGGCCCAAAGCTGGGTATAAATTACAGGCCCCAATATATTTTCAATTTTATTACAGGCGAGGTCTGAAATACCACTACTCAGTTTGGTTGTGAGGAGCTACTTGGAGCGTAAAACCGGTCGAAGATAATTCTCAAGTAGAAGAGACCCGGGAGATACTAGGACTAGGAGTATACATGTAAATTCCATTCTGGTACCGGCCGGAATGCCTCGTACCAACACCTAGATCGATATAGAAGAGCCACAATCTATTCCATGTACGAACTTTGGTGTTTTGAACTTTTGAAATATGGTTTTATGAACTTGCTGAATGATATGTTAGTTTGGTAGAAATGATAATTACGACATAAGTTAAGTCAGTATATATGTATAAGTATATATTCCACATATTATTATTATTATTATAAAGTTGAAGACGGTAGGTCGGTATGGGCTGTACCGGAATGTTCCATTCAATAGCTCTCCAGAATAGCACTGTTCGTTTTGAACTTATTAATGAGACTTATCATAATATTTTTCTATGTAAGCAAACGTGACCGACTTATTACTCGGCACTTTACCAATTGAACAACCGAGAAAATTACTGAGTTAGATTAGGACAGCTACTATCTGCTCATCGTCAGCTCTCCGCCCAGCCGGAGGGAACGCACGTGCACAAACCTTAGCGGCTGCGGTGGATTCGGGAGGCTTCATTGGCTGGCGATGTTTAGTTCGAGAATTTGGAATTTGGGGATCTGTCATGATCGCGTTCGTTTTGTTTAGTAATTAGTGTTGGCGCGCTGGACTGATGTCTTCAAAACGTTAAATCTCGCAATTTACCGCGCAGCCGCTGCGATTAGTTTTTTTTCGTCTACGTTTAATCGCTTCGTCCGTAGGCCATAAACGTTCGATGTGGCGGTGCTTGTACATGACTTTTTGGGATTTCAAGTAAAACTAAACCAGGGCTGATTCATCAGGAAAGCACATCGGCAGTGGCTACCACGGCGGGCGGATCCACCATGCGCGAGTACACTGACATCTGTAGCGACGGCGGGTGTATCCATGCTAAAAAAGAAAAGAAAAGAATCTTTAAAAAATCATCAAAATATGAACTTTTGTGCTTGACGGACTGCCGGCATATGCCATGGGAGCTCTCCTCCTACTTGTGGGGTAAGGAAGCTTTGGACGCTTCAAACGACGTGCCTTTCTCTAGAATGGATCGGACAAAATCACCGGGGCAAAAAGTGCTTGATTGCTTGGGACACAAGGTATGCAAGAGCAAGGAGGATGGGGGCTCGGGATCAAACGCCTGGACACTCAGGGCGTGATTGGTTGTAGACGAGCCTTGAGCCAGGATGGTCAGGCTATACAGGACTAAAGAATCTGGATTGAACTTGCATGCAGTGGTGTTTTTGGTTATGCTTTGTTGTTATTGATTCAATTCTGAGACGGAATTTGTATTTGGTTACATCTCGCACATGCGCCTCTGCGTCACGCGCGTGAATCAAGTCATCCTGCATTGGTAGAAGAGAGAAATCTAGAAGCCCAAGGCGTACTGGGTTGGAGGGGAAAATGGGGAAAGGAATGGAATGAAGCAGGCAAAAGTGCAAGACAGGAAGACCCAAGTGCATGACGTGGCACCGGATGGCCTTTGGATAGTCTGGGCAGGACAACCAATCACCCCCTTGTCTGTCTGCTGCTCAAGCTCATACACAGGCTCCACTCACCGGGGTGACTCGTCATGGACAGCATGGGCGCGCGCGCCGTGTCAAGCTATCTGATCTCCAGGGGAGATGTAACTGGCCAGCATTGGGACGCGCTGAGGAGCTACTGCCTGCAGGGCATATCCCATCATCCCATGCAAGGGTGGGCAATTGAGAAGACGCATCCTTCTGGCTGGACCAATGGCTAACTGATTCAACTCTTGCAGAAGCCTTCCCTTCGCTCCACAGTCATTTTCACCAAAGGAGATGCCTCGATGCAAGCAGTTCTCAGTGGAGACTGGCATTTGATGCTCCAGCCCAGGCTAACTCTGCAAGTAGAAGGGAAGCTGAGCCAGTTGAGCCATCTTCTACACGAGTTGAGGCTGGAGACATCCCCTGATGACAGGGTTTGTGCTTTCGCCAAGAACGACAAATAAGCTGGCGGCTGATTTCATTTACAAGGCGTCCATCAGTGGCGAGCAACAGCTGCCTTCCTTCGACTTTGTCTGGCGCAATTTTACCCCACCACGAGTGAAGTTCTTCGCATCGCTTCTAGTTCAGAACAGGATCCAGTGCAAGGCAAATTTAGCAAGAAGGGGCTGCTGTCGGATGCGACTTGTGACTTGTGCAAATGACAAAAGAAGATGCGGATCAGGGTGTTCCTTCGCCTGCAGGTTCTGGAACAAGATAAGGTGGTGGCCAAATGCAATCGTCGCCGTCGACGACGACCAGTGTGCGGGACGAGTGCCCAAGGAAGCGGCCTTAAGTTTCCTCCTCTTGTGCTGTTGGGAGCTATGGAAACACTGACATGATGTTGTTTTCAGAGGGTTGACATAAGCGTGGAGAGACTAGCGGTCACCTGCAAAGCCACGACCACCCTATGGCAATGTCGACTTCCCAGAAGCTCCGTCGCCTTAGCTAATTTCTGGAGTTCCATTCGCCCGATGTAATTGCTCCCCCCATCTCTGTGATTTTCCTTGTAATTGTGGTGCCAGGCAAAACTTTTGGGGCATTTGCCCCGTCACCCACCAGAATTTTCTGGAATCTGTGGTAATATAATCATGTGGACATCGTTCGTCTCCCCATTGCATTTAAAAAAAATGATCTTTTTATGGCGTACGCATCACAAATTGGGGACTCAATGCTATACAAAATATGTTACTTGGTCTCTTATTTTCTCATGGTGATGTACGCCTATATGGATCCACCATGAAAATTTTGCTCAAGCGGATGTCACTCCCCAAATGTTCGATTTCCAACACCTAAATCTAGATACATCTATAGGTAAAGCCCCCTCCATAACAAATGTCCATTTAAACATGTACTATATGTGAGCTACTCCCTCCATCCTTAAATTATAAATTATTTTAACTTTATTAAAGAGTAAAAGCATCTCAAATTTACCAAATTTATATAATAAGTAATAACATTTGTGACACCAAATAAGTATCCCTAGATTCTTCATTAATTATATTTTCATAGTGTATATATTTAATGTTATAATAAATCTTTATAATTCTACATAATTTTGGTAGAACTTGAGAGACTTTGTCTCTAATAAAATTAAAAATAACTTATAATTTGGAACGCATGTAGAGTATTTATCTATATCCAAACATGGCCCTGCATTTGAGTTTTTTTTTTTTTTATCTCTACCTGTATGTCTAGGTTATTTTTTAGAACTGTTCAAGTTAAGCTACCATTCAGGATAAAAGTCATGTTTATCGTTTTCAGTCACTTTAATGTCAAAGCTAAAATTCTATAGCTGTAGCTTTAATCTCAAACTGCTTATAATTTATTAAGAAGATAAAGGCTTTTCCTCGAAGGAAGGAAAAAGAAAAGAAATTAGAAAGAAAAAATGGCGCCTCGTGGTGGCTTTTACCTGGTTTTCTCACGGCCACGGCTTGCTGCTTCGTCTCCTTCCGTCGCCGACCGAGGAGAGGAAGAAAGGGATTGGAAAAAGCTAGGGTTTTCGCCATGGCCATCGCCCACCTCCAGCTCCCCGTTCTCGAATCCATTCTCCCCACGCTCTCCTCCTAGCTGCCGCATCTCGCATCGCCGCAAAAAGCGGCCCGCCCGCTTCGATTCCGCTCCCCATTCGAGGTTTCCTCCCTTCCCCAAATCGAATCGCAGCATTACCCGCCGAGCAAGCAACCCACCGACCAATCGACCCACCACCCGCCCACCCGCCCTTCAAAGGCTTCGACGGCGCTGGCGATCCAGCAGGGGCTTGCGCAGCGGAGGGCGGCCGGATAACCCAATGTGTATGCTCTGCGCCGTGCAGCGCCTGGTCGCGGCGCGTCGCCACCATGCTCCCGTGGCTCGTCGTCCCGCTCATCGCCATCTGGGCCGCCACCCAGCTGCTCCTCCCGGCCGCCTACCGCTTCGAGGTCACCTCCCCGCGGCTCGCCTGCGTCTCCGTGCTCCCTCCTCACCCTCTTCTGGTACGAGATCCTCCTCCGCAGCTCTCCCTCTGGCGCGCCCGCCGCTCGCGCGCCTCCGCGAGGAGCGCCGCGCGCACGCGCTCGAGCTCCACAAGCTCCGCAAGACCGCCACCCGACGCTGCCGCAACTGCAGCAACCCCTACAGGGACCAGAACCCCGGCGGCGGCAAGTTCATGTGCTCCCTACTGCGGCCACGTCTCCAAGCGCCCCGTGCTCGACCTTAATTCGGCCGGAAGGCCCCCTCAGGTGGCCTTGCGCTCAGGATTGTGGAGACTGGCTCGACCTGCGCTGCTCCTCCAGCGCCAGTACCTCCTTCTGGGGGTTCTCATGGCACCTGCTGTTGTCATTTTCACAGCAACAGTGAGGTGGCCATTGAGGAAGATATTCAGATTTACATCGTCAGGGGACGGTGAGGCTTGGGCCCAGATGGTAGAAGGTTGGCAAGGGAGGGGAGAATGGGGGAAAAGCTGAGGAGAGCAGGGTCGAGAGGGCGAGGAGGAAAGCAGAGGAGAAGAGGCTGGTGAGGCTGGAGAGGGAAATGCTGGAGGAGGAAGAAAGGAAGCAGCAGGGAAGAGATGGCAAAGCTGGTGGAGGAGCATGGGAGGCTGAGGATGAGAAAGCTGAGGCCGAGGAGGCGGTCCAAAAAGCGCTACCCCTGTTGGGGAGAAAGGATGCTAGGAGGGAGGCAGAGGCGGGCGCCAGGAGGGAGGAAGAAAGAGGACAAAGGTCAAGCAAGAGTAATTCAGATTGTGAGGACATTGATGGGCGATTGGGCGAGAAAAGGCGACAGAGCGAGCCTTCGACAGAAAGATGGACTCTGACAGGCGTGAGGGTTACAAGCCTCATTACTTTGAAGCTAACAATCATAGTAATAAGACAGTGGAGAGCAGAGCAAAGTACTTTGGCCGTGTATGGCGGTGGTTTCTTATCTTAAATCAAGAGGGTTTGGCGGTTGGTTCCTTCTTTGGCAGAAGTGCTCAGGCCCCTGCTCCTCAAGTTAACAAGGTTAGCAGACCTGTAGTTCCTGCAACTGACCAGGGTGATGCAGCCAAAGAGATGTCCAGCATGCAGCCAGGCAAGCTGCAGCCAAATCCGCTTCAGCTGAAACCAGAAATTCATGGACTAATTTTAATCTGACCTGTGAGTAACAAGGGCATTGCTACTTTAATGACAAATCTTGTTGTCAGAACCAATTGCATTAGTTGTTTTTAGTTTTTACTTGAATTTCCATCTTAAATCTTCTACCTTTTGTATTTTGCTATATGCAGGTTAGTCCAAATGTGCAGGCAGCCCTACCAGCTTTAAAAAGTCATGGCATCAGCTGTTTAGTCGTTCAGCATCAGTCTCCCCTTGTCCTGATGCTACAACTTCAGCTCGTGATATGAATCGGAAGCCAGAACCAAATGGAGCGCAAATAAGCAATGCTCGTACATTTCTCTCTCAGTATCCTCCTCTGGACAGCAAGCCAAGTTCGAGCCAGTCCATGCAATTTCCAGGTTTTCCACCAGTTAATGGAGTACCTCCCAATAAGCCACTACCTCATTTTCCTGCTGGACATATGCCTTTCTATGATGATGCAGAATCTGCTGTATTTGAAGATTCAGAACAGTTTGAGGACCCATGCTATGATCCAGATGCAATCGCATTGCTTGGGCCAGTTTCAGAGTCTTTAGATAACTTCCTCCAGACTTGGATTGTGGATTCATCTCAGTGATGTCGCCAAGAAATCACATGGGAGGCCTTCACCAATTGAGTCGCCTCTCTCTAGATCTCGTATGGTTGAAGAAAGCCTATCAAGCCCCAGCACTTATTAGTTGCAAAACGGCCTGGTGGTCCTATTCAGCCTGAGGCTAGCAGCGAGCAAGGCACATGGCAAATGTGGAGCCGCGCCATTGGTTCATGAAAGTTTAGGTCTGCAAGGCCCTCAGAGTCAGTGGCCTCGACAGACAAATCAATTAAACTATAGTGCCAATCTTTTCAATGGCGGAACAAAAGGCCCCTGGGTACTGGTTTGAATGGCACTGATCCTTGGCTGCAGAAAGCTCCTTTTCAGCAATTGCCACCTGATACACCAAGCCTGTTCCTTCCACATGAAATACCAGGGAAATTACGCAATGACTTGGTTTTTGGGTCTCCAAATAAATCAGCACGTGAACACCCCTTTGGACCACCTGGTCCTTCTTGGCCCAAGTAAGTACTTTCCTATCCCCTTTCTTTTCAGAAAATTTGCTGCAACAAAGGCTTTCATGACCGCTGAACATATAATTTTAACTTGAGCTAGAAACCTAGTATAATAACTCATTATAGAATAGTTGTTGGCCTTCCCCAGATGTTGACAACTGCTAGTTTCATGCTATTGTGTGAGTCATTCAGTTTTCCAGTTAACTGCTTAGTATAGTTCCATGCATCAATCCATTTAAGCACCAAATTATTGACGTTTTTTTATGATAATCATTTGACGACATCTGCTTAAATTTGCATGAACATAGTTAAACACTGAGTGAAGTCTCCAAGTGTGATTGTGGATTACTCCTTACTTCAGCGAGTACATTTATATGTCACAAATTAGAGACCGTTGAAAAGCATAGTGAATTATCGTGGTATTTAGCATTGCTGAGTTTTTAATTGATACTAGTCTTTATTGTTGAACCCATTGAGTGTGATGTGTGTATGGATGATCCTTTCTTCTTTGAAAGATTCAAAGGCAGCAGTGCTCTTTATTCTCCAATCATTAGGTGGGAGTTCTCTGTGGATCTTATTTATGATAATGACGTGTAATCTGGGGCAGGGCAGTGGTGCTTCTATATATATATATATATATATATATATATATATATATATATATATATATATATATATATATATGCATATGTTTCATGAGTTAGTCACGCCAATTTTGGTCTTTTGCAGTCACTATGTGTCCACCTAGATGTTAGGCAACACCATCCTGCTTACTGTAATTGCCACATACTCTACCCAGAGTGTCTGCCTAATCCTAGTTAGTCTCTCTAGTGACTAAAGCTTTTTGGAACATAATCGGACATGTGCGTTCTGATATTTCGCACTTTCATGGATCATGGTTCATTGATGTTATGGCGTTAAGTGGTCTACTCTGCTCGTGAATGACGATGAATTGACAAACTGCCATAATGAATAAGCTAGCTTGGATATGTCTGGTCATTTTGCATGATTCGTTCCACTGTTCGTGATTGTTGAACCTTAATACTAAATGTGTCAAATCAGTCAAGATATGTTACAACAATGGCACGGTTGACCAATGATTTGGCCATGGGTTTCTCTCAGCCCAGCTAGAAATTATGTGCTAAGTAAATACCTTTTTCTTAAGGCAGTTCAGAGGCAAATTCATTGCTAGGTCTAAATTGATTAGAAAGAAGGGTACAGAAACCGAGGAGAGATGGGTAGTTGTCATCATGAATTGTCAGATTATTAGCCAATGTTTTTATCCCTGGTCTTGATGATGTGCTCCTCACATTTAGTGTATTAGATTTTGTGGTCTGGTCAAGATTTGTTTTCCAATAGTAACTTTTATTTTCAATAGCTCAGGGGTACTCAAGCATCTGATTTCTGATAACTGCCCAGGTTCTGTGTTTACAATGAGAAGAAGTTTTGGAGGGGATGAGCAGACTAAACACTTGATTTTATAGGATGCTTCCTGCAACATCATGGTCTTCTACGTTCATATCATCCATTGTTTGCATTGATTTTTGTATTTTTTTAAATAGTGTGGGCTGCTGCTTTTGAGACATAATTAGAGGCTAGACTTAGATGGTGCAAAATCAGAACTTGCATGAGGCTAAGCTGTTCTGTTGCAGGCAGTTTGATGAGATACGTATAGGTTGATAGCGAGTGTTCTAGTTTCATTTTTATGTCAAGGTTGGGATGGTCTTATGTCCAAGAAATGCGATTAGATGAGCTGGAGATTGAATGAAATTCGGCTGATGCCAAAAAGTCCAAAATGGATGATTAAATATTTGCTATGGGTTGTGGGTTGTGCAAGGCCACAATCCTTGAGCGATATGAATGCATGTCTTTTTATAAGAGCAACTGTTGAGCTAACATTTTTGTTCTCTGAAATATGTAGTTTGATAGCATTGAACTTCTGCACTGTAGGTGGTGGGATTCTTGGAAATGCTGTTCATCAGTGGTGTTTGGTTACTGCATCCTGTTTGACCTTGCTGTTAATTATTGGGCGTAGTTTTAATTGTTACTTCTGAAGGCGGGCCTGGTGCAAGCGGTAGAGAGTCTTACCGCTGTGGACCGAAGGTCCCGGTTCGAAGTCATGGTCTCCTCGCATTGCGGGCAGGTGAGGTAAGGCTTGCCACATCGACACCTTCCCCGGCACCCCCGCAGATCGGGAGCTCTCTCTTTGGTACGCCCTTTATGGTTGGGGCCGGCTCCTTCATACTTGAAAAGCATATGTAAAGGTGCTGTGATGAAAGAGCAGGCAGCCTAGTCCATGTGCGATGAAAGTTTTAGTCCAGTTAGGATACAACTAGAGTTCCCGGAGGATTCAAAGACAAGGCCCAATGGGGTGTTCAGTCTTATCCATGGCGATGTCTCTAGGAGGAGAGACATCCACACAATTACGCAAGTGGGCTGCTACCCACAGAAATTTGGCTCAAGGGAACGTGGAAATTGGGTTATCAGTTTTCTTAGCATGACTAGTTCATTTGAGTCATTTTTGAATACTCAGGTAGTATGACAGACCATCTGGTTCCTACTTCCTACAGGCCAGAAGCACTTTTTTTTGACAACACAGGCCAGAAGCACTTGACCTATCAACAGGCTCCAAGCTGATGGAAACTTAGCATACAAGATTCGATTGTTTTGTGTTGGACTTGGTCTATTGGCGTTTGAATTTGCTTGTTTCAAGTTTCACGACTTGTACCCTGGAAGCTGTTGGCTTGAAATTGAGTTCATTTGGTCTGCATGGCACTGGGTGCCTGAAATCTTTTACTTTTACCATGGGTTGTGCCCTTTGGGTGTTGTCTGCATGACACAGCTTGGTTTCTGTTTTAGGCCTGACAAAACATTTGAACTATCCATGTCTTATTTGATTTCATGTTTTTTTGGGTAGTATTATCATCATACGTACATTCATACTACCATCGTTGATAAAGTGAAATGCTGGATCTGACGACTCTGTTGGGGTTATTATGTATGCAGTGGGGAGCTGTCGCAGGATGGAGCCCAGGAAGGTGGTGGCCATTTTTCATTGCCGTCCAGCGCACCAGTCGGTGGCGGAGGAGGCTTATTTTGCTCGACAAGTCCTGATGTCCAGTCCTCCGTGTGGTCTTTCAACGAAAAGAGACAGCGCAGCAGGGACAAACCTCGTTATAGAAGGGAATGGAGGGTGTCTGAGCCAAAACTTCCTTGCCTCCCCTCTGAGTGTTGCAGGGGGTTACTTAGCGAGGAGATAAGGCTCTCCCTGTTCATTGGCGCAAAAAAGATATGGGGTCATTTTGTTTAGTAGCACTCTCACCTGACCTGTTAACATGCGCCACGCCGCCACCTGATGCATTGCATCAGGTGAAACTTACTTTCACCTGATGTGTTGGCACTTCTCGTCGTATGAACTCTGGGATTCAGTGAAAAATGGGCATGGGGACTTGCCCTGCACAGGTGCGCTGATGTCTTGGGTCGCCGCTAACACTGGCACAGCTCCCTTTGGCAATGCGCAATAGCGCGTGCCTATATGTGACTGATTTGTTTGAAGGTGGTTGTTCGGCTGTACTAATATATATGTAGGTCGTTCTGTGCAAGTGGTAGTGGATAGCAGCATACCATGAAGGGCTCGCTCGTGTACACCCTGACGATTGGGTGGGGATTCCAATCTGAACAAACCTGTAGGTGGAAGATATTTGGTACACGATGGGAGAAGAGAAGATGGTGCTTGTTAGTATCCAGTAATATTTAGGAATCATCTTGTTTTGGTGATGCTGGGATCAGCATATGTTTCCACTTTTTTTTTCTGAGGATAGCAGGGCAAGGCAGGATGGTGTTATCTGATGGGTGCAGCGGCCATGCAAGTGGTTTGGTTCAGCAGTCGGTAGTCTTTACTCTTTACTGTACTGGGCAGTGGCAAACTGGCAACTACCCAGGCCACCACTAGCAGCAACCACCGAACTTTGCGGTGCTGTGTTGCAACATGCGTGTGCCGTTTGTCGTGCGCGTGCTGCTTCGGCGGCCTTGCACGCCACCGCAAATGTATCGAACGAAGCTCAACTATTCGTGTTCTTGGAAACGAATCCTCTCGTAAATGCGACTGCTTGTTTGATAGACAGATGCCGATTGGATCTGGAGGAGCAGGGAGAAAAGAAAAAACGCGTCCGTCCCCTGCATCGGCGGTCCGTTGTTTTTTGACTTGGGCCAAGATTTTCACTCTCTTCATCATATTAAATCTTTGTACGCTGGCGTGGAATATTAAATGTAGATAAAAAATAATTAATTATATAGTTTGTTTGTAAATTATGGAGGCGAATCTTTTAAAGCTGAATTCTGGCTATAATTGGGCCAATAATTGTCAAATATAAACAAAAATCTTATAATATCAAATACTTAATTCCTAACGTCTAAACAGGGCCTTGGACAAACGTGGAACCCAAACACAACACAAGGCAAACCCGGCGGTTTCCGTCCGTTCGCTGCTGCGTCGGTGTCGTGCCTGCACGCCTTGAGAAGCTTCCATCCGCC